TTTATATTGTCGAGGCCGGATTGTTTTTGTCTTCAGGAGTTCCGCGGTGGCCCACTTCCAATGTGGGTCTGAAGTTTTCAGACTTTCTCCTTGGGTCTGGAATCTTCTAAGAATGATTTTGGCCTCAGGAACTTGGGTGTTGGAGTGACCTGAGACCCTGGCCGTGGCCGTGCCACGCAGGCATGCAAAGTCTGATGGGGTGGGAATAAGCCCCAAGATTTCCCAGGGAGTGGATTGAGTAGCTGGGTTGTACTGGATGCAAAGGATCTGGGAGAGGCAAGGTAAACCTCGGAGCCCCAGAAAGAGGCTGTCAGCCCCAGAAAGAGGCTGTCAGCCCCAGAAAGAGGCTGTCAGCCCCAGAAAGAGGCTGTCAGCCCCAGAAAGAGGCTGTCAGCCCCAGAAAGAGGCTGTCAGCCCCAGAAAGAGGCTGTCAGCCCCAGAAAGAGGCTGTCAGCCCCAGAAAGAGGCTGTCAGCCCCAGAAAGAGGCTGTCAGCCCCAGAAAGAGGCTGTCAGCCCCAGAAAGAGGCTGTCAGCCCCAGAAAGAGGCTGTCAGCCCCAGAAAGAGGCTGTCAGCCCCAGAAAGAGGCTGTCAGCCCCAGAAAGAGGCTGTCAGCCCCAGAAAGAGGCTGTCAGCCCCAGAAAGAGGCTGTCAGCCCCAGAAAGAGGCTGGCGGGGGTATCTGGAGGGCTGCATGGTAGACTTTCCCCCAGAGAGGCCTGAGGGCGGGAGAGCGGGCCAGGAGAGTTAGCCAGTGGTGCAGGTCCGGGAAGCAGGGAGAGGTGAGGGCGGGGCCAGGTCCCGTGGAAGCAGTGCTCCTGGGGCCCAAGGAAGGCACTAAGCTGGCCTGGTCGAAAACGATCAGGAAACAGCACCAGTTCCCCAGGTGTCTGGGGACCCAAGACCAGGAATGGCGCAGGGCCCAAACCAGGAGCAGAGAACAGCGGCGGAGATGGAAGGGCGAATGAGGCCAGGGGAGTCAATGCGTGGAAGGCTCCGCGATGGACCCACCCCGAGAGGCCTGAGGATAGGGTTCGGCCAGGAGAGTTAGCGGGTGGTGCAGGTCTGGGGGAGCAGAGAGAGGTGAGGGCAGGGCCGGGTCCAGAGGCAGTGCTCCTGGGGCCCAAGGAAGGCACCAAGCCGGTGGGGGTGAACAGGGTCAGGAATCAGCAGTGGCTCCCCAGGTGTCTGGGGCCCCAAGACTAGGAATGGCACAGGGCCCAAGCTAGGAGTAGAGAACAGTGGGGGAGATGGAAGTGTGAGCGAGGCTGGCGGGGAGTCAAGGCGCGGAGGGCTGCAAGGTAGACTTACCCCCAGAGAGGCCTGAGAGCAGGAGAGCGGGCCAGGAGGGCAAATTTCTTTTTATTAAGTGTTTTTTTTTAATTTACATGTATATATGTGTGCCTGCATGACTTTATGTGTACCATGTACATGCAGATACCCTCAGACACCAGAAGAAGGCATGGGATTCCCTGGAGCTGCCCCCTGGAGCTGGAGTTACAGGTGGTTGTGAGCTGCTATATGGGTGCTGAGAACTAATCCCAGTCTTCTGCAAAAGCAGTAAGCACTCTTAACTACTGAATCATCTGTCCAGCCCCTGTAAATTTCTTAACAAAAATATAGTAATAATTATGATTATAATAATGAAGAGAAGGACAAGAGAAAAAATGGGAAAGGAAAGAGGAGAAAATCCTAGGCAAATGGGCAAAGCTATCCAGCCAAACCAAGCCTACACAGCAGGACAAAACAAGCCGTGCAAGAAATAAACTTCTATTGTGTGTGAAGGTTTGTGGATCCAATCAACAAAAGCAAATAAATATGGTATCTCCTGTGCACTTGTATGTATACCTACTGAAAGATCAAACTGAGTAAGAAACTCACCTCCAAAGTCAGATGGGCTTGTTAGAATAATATTCACCAAAAGCAAACATTTATTAATACTAATCAATGGACACATAAATATTAGAATTGCACTATCCTTTACATCTAGAAATTCTAATAAGAAAATTTTTTTGGTCTTTTTGAGACAGGGTCTCCCTGTAGCCCCAGCTGTCCTAGAACTCACTATGTAGACCAGGCTGGCCTTGAACTCACAGAGATCTGCCTGCCTCTGCCTCCCGAGCGCTGGGATTAAAGGCATGAGCCACCACACCCGGCTAAAAGAAAATTTTTTTAAAATGAGAATGACTGCTTTTTAACATAGATTTCATATGGCCTAAGCTGACCTCAAACTTACCACGTAGCTGAGGTTAGCCTTGAACACCTAATCCTTCTGCCTTCACTTCATACAGGCTTGGAATTACAAGGACGCACTACTGCCCCCACCTCGTGAAAGGCTTATTCTATATGACAGCATTTGAATTCAGGTCCTAGCCACAAGAAAGGGGTCCTGAACAAAGCTATGGTTAGAGGCTGGCACCAACAACCATGGGCACTCGGATGGAATTTTCACCTGAGACCTTGATGAAGACCCCCCTGGACAGGAAGGTGGTACCAAGATTTCTAATATTCAGACCAAAGACTGAGATGATGAAGGAATCTGCCCACCAAGGAGGCTGAGAGTGGCCACTAGAGTATAGTACCAGTGCACTAGAAGATGCAGAGATTCCAAAGCTAACTGGAGTGCTGAGGAACTACAGCAAGCCTATGTGCTAAAGATTACAAATCAAATGGGACACTGAACATGCTTTTCAGTCATTTTCTTTGTTTCTTATAGTTTCACTCTTTTCAAGTTTAAGAAAATTGCTTTTTTTTTTTTTTTTTGTTGGTTGGTTGGTTGTTTTGGTTTGGGTTTTTTTTTTTTTTTTTTTTTTTTTTTAAAAAAAAAAAAAAAAAAAAAAAAAAAAAGAGGACGATAAATCTTTCACTGTGATATATCAAAATAAAAAAAAAAAAAACATCTGCCTACTTCTGCCTCCCAAGTGCTGGCATTAAAGGCATGCACCACTACACCTGACAAAAATTGCTATTTCTTAAATTTAGAAAGGTCTTCTCTTCTATCTAAACATTTCCCCTTATACATGAATGCATTTTACTTTGATCAAATCTTCCCTTTTCTCCCCTCATCAAACTCTTCCCCCATCCCTTCCCCCTCTCAAATATATATATACACTACTGAGTTCAATTAGTGTTGCCCACAAGCATGTGAGTGTAGAGCTTTCCAATGCAGCATAAGCAACTGAAGAAAGCTGATTCTTTCTCCCCCTGAGCCACTGCTGCCTGTAGTTTCTCAATTAGGAGTGGAGTGTTGCAAATCCACCACCATTCATGCTGGAATACTGGCTACATTTATCTTGTGCAGGTCTAAATAAGAGGCGATACTTTGGCTGAATTTTTTTTAAAAAGAAAAATCAAAGATCTAACAGAGCTTTAAACCAAGGCTGATATTATTTGGGTGTTTCCATGAAGTCTTCCTGCTGTAGATTCAGTACACAGGTGCTACAGCAGACAGAACAGTGCCACAACTGAATGGAATCATAACCATGCTGGAATAACCTAGGGTCAGACTTTTTCCCATATGACACTCTTTTGTGCTCAGTGGGACTCTATTCAAGTCTGAATTCTATCATGGTCCCCTAAAGCAGTTCTATGACAACTCACTTTATATAACAGCATCTTGCAGAACCCTAAGGAGGTAGAAGCAACTCTGAAGCCAGGGGCAGAATAAGAAAGGGTAAATTCTGCTCCTTCCTTGAGTCACTCCTATATTTGGATTGTTTGAGGACTAGCAAGATGGGAACTCCTCCCCTCTGGACTCACACTGCTCTTCTTCCCCCTGCAGATCAAACAGCACAACAGCAGGCAGCCAGAGGCAGGAGCCTTTGCTGACTGCTCTACATCCATCACGGAGGTTGTCTAAGAACAGCTCTATGATGGAAGAGTCCAAGGAGTCAAAGTGGCAGTGCTTGGTGTCTTAGCAGAAGGCAAAGCACTAGGCTGCGGCTGCTCAACCTCCTCATGTGTGATGTGCAGCAGCATTCTGTAATCTCATTGGTTGTTAGATAAAAGTAAACAGCTACTTACAGGCTCCACAAACTCAAACATCTTTCTCTCTTGAACTTCCTGCACCTTGAAGACATACTCCAGGGAGACCTCATAGAAATGCTGCCGAACCAGGTCCACTTGGCTATCTGCCTGCAAGCAAGGTGGAATTAACAGAACACCAAGTCATTAGCTAAGAAAATCTATGGGGATAATTTTTTAAACAAATCAAGCAGCATAATACAGAAGAAAAACAATAATGGCTACTCAATACTGACCATGGCAAGCACCATGTCTAGAGCTGGGTGTGTGTTACTTTATTTAACTCTCACTAATTTTCATTCTATAATCTCTATTAAATTCCTCTATTAAAAGATGTTATTTTTAAAAAATATTTATTTACTATCTTTATTTTATGTGTATGCATGTATTGTCTGCATGTAGGTAAGTGCACCATGTCGTGCAATGCCTGCAGAGAACAGAGGAGACTGTCAGATTCCCTGGAACTGGAGTCACAGACAGTTGTTAGCTGCCATGAGGGTGCTAGGATTTGAACCTGGGTCTTCTGCAAGAACAGAACAGTCAGTGTTCTTAACTGCTGAGCCCTAAAAGGAGACAGTATTTTTATTTATAATTCACAGGAGGAAAATGGAGTCCTCTGACATGAACTGGACTAAGGTGTCACATAGCTAGTTCAGGGGACAGGTGGGATTTCTGTCCTAATGGAGCTGTTCCCAAGATCCTTGGCCATTCTTAAACCATGAAGCTCCCCTACACTCCCAGACAAACCTGAGCTCCACAGCAGGCAGATTTTTAGAGTGAAAAGGTCCATAGGGCTGGGCGTGGTGGTACATACCTTTCATCCCAGCACTTGGGAGGCAGAGACAGCCGCATTTCTGTAAGACAGAAGCCAGCCTGGTCTACATAGCAAATTCCAAACTAGCTGGGACTACAAGGGGACTGGGTCTCAAAAAAATTAAAAAAAGAATAGGGCCAACCTTATGCTGACCTTATTTATCATAAAAAAACAAGCCGTCCATGGGCAGGGAGCCTTAGAACAAGGCATAAGTCCTAAATACTTTGTGACAAGGATAAACTGTCCTTTTGTGCCTCTGATTCTCATATCTCAACCACACACCATGGCTACATGTACAGCTTATTTCAAAGCAGATAGACCACCCCACCCAAAGTACACAGCTCATGATGATAAAGTACGTTGCTAATATGAATGAATACACTCTAGCAAGAAGCAAAATACTGTTTTCCACAAAATCAAGTCAGAAACGGTCTTTTAGCACCATACTAAGACAATAAAATTCCTCAAATATTTCTTCCAGTGTTACTTTGTAAAGATTCCTGCAGAAAAAACCTGGGATAGGCCCTTACTGCCATTATTCCACATACAGTGTGCAACATTGACACCTCAAGAACGTATCAAAACATTTGCTCACTTAAGAGTCATGAGCACAGAGATTTCATTCATGGTGCTTACAGAACAGTGAAAAAAAGCTGAGCACTCAGTCAGTCATGTAATCACCCAAATAGGTAGAAAGCTACGAGCTGTGTAAGATGCAGGATGCTATGAAACAGCTCCAAAGTGCACATTCCACTCTCTCATAATACAAAGTTCCCCCAGGGAACTTACACATTTATATAGAGGGGTAGCTCTGCTCAGTACATACACACTAGGATCAAGCATTTTCTAGCACTTTCATGCAGGGAAAGCTGACATGAAATGGGAGGCCCTACACCTCAATACCTAGGTGTGGCTGTTATAAGACCCAACAGATACACCTTCCTTCCACCTGGGCCACTGTGCTTTTCACTGGTCTCCTTGCCTGCATTCTCTCCCCTAGCCCAGACTCTACAGCAGCCAGGTGTCTTGTTTAGAATCTAAATAGTCTCTTGATCCCCTCCAGGACATCCCCTGGCCTTCTCCATAATCTATGAGACCCTATAGGATAAGATGAAGTGGGACAGGGTAGGATGAGGTGAGGATAGGGTGGGGTGGGATGGAGTGTGGTAGGATAGGACAGGTTAAGATGGGATAGGGTGGGTGTGGGGGAGGATGGGGTGAGGGTGGGATCTGTCTAGATTTCTCCCTTACATTCTCCTGTGGCAACCCACCACCCTCAGTAACCCACCCACGATGTGCTCCGGCACTATGCTCTCCTGTCCTCTAACACTCCAAATCTCCTTCCTGTTCACAACTTTTGTACAGTATTCCTTCTGCCTGAAAACCTCTTCCCCTAAATAAGTGTACTTCTTAAAAAAATCTCAGTGCAAAGTAAAGTATTCATTACATTATGACCCTATAAACACATACACTAAGTTCAGTACAATGCAGTTTAACAATATTTTGTAGCCTACTCTAATGCAATTTTGTGACCAATGATTCTGATTTTCACTACACTCTCATAGCTAGATGATGACTAGCCAGTTTGCTCTTCTTCATCCTTCTGGGCATTTCAGAGGTGTTCTCAGTGCTGCTGTCTTAGGCTACCATAGGGAGTCTCCAGTTCACTACCTTCCAACTTACATCCTCACTGCTGTGTGAAACTCTTATTCCTTCACTTACTATGTGCTGTTGCTTACTAGACTATAAAGTCCACGAGAATAAAGAAGCTGTTTCATTTTTCTACTTTTGGATCCCAGGGCCTATAACACTGCCTGGCCCCACTGTGTTCAACAGGTGCTTGAAGAAAGAATGATTCACCTGCATGTGGCAACTAGCCAACACTACAGGTATGTCTCTGCAGTGACTCAGCACTAAGAAGAAATGCACAGCTCAACACTTCCCAAAGGAAATGAAGCATTTCTCTTGTTTACTCTGGGCCCGAGAATTTAGGAGCTTAAACTCTCTATGGTAGAATCACAAGGCAGGATCCCAACCACTCAGCAGATCACTGGCTATGGTTTAAGTATGCCACCGCCCCCCTCCATATATTAAGAGCTTGGTCCTCAGTGTGACAATGTTGGAAGGTGGTATGGAACCTTTAAGAGATGGAGTCCAAGTGGCAGGTCACTGGAACCCTACCTCCAGAGGAATTAAGTGGTTTTCATGGGACTATAGTTAGTTTTCTCAAGAAAAGTATTATGAAAGGACAGGTCTAGCCCCTCTTGCTCTCTGGCTTCTTCTCTTGCCAAGTGATCTCCCCCTACAAACATGCCCCTGCGATGGGTGATGCCATCCACTGTGATGTGATACAGCACAAGGAGGAAGGTCACCAGAGTTAGAACATTCAGCCTCCACAATTGAAGGCTAAACAAACATCTTTTCTTTATAAAGTACTCAGTTTCATGTCTCTTGTTACAGTCACAGGATACTGACTAACACACCATTCAGGACAGTTTCTCTACCTGTTACTTAAACTAAACCTTCCAGCTTGACCCAGCAACAACTATTTTATGTTTCTTGAAAAAGAGGCGGTTGGGTGCTGGAGAGATGGTTCAGGGGTTAAGAGGAAGTACTGCCCATCGCAGAGGCCAGTGTTCAGTTCCAAATGTCCATGTCTGGTGGCTCACAACCATCTGTAACTGTAACTATCTCCAGGGACTCCAACACCCTCTTATGAACTCCACAGGCACCTGAGCTCATATGCACATACCCCTACACACATGTATATACAGAGAGAGAGAGAGAGAGAGAGAGAGAGAGAGAGAGAGAGAGAGAGAGAGAAATATATCTTTATAAATAAAAAAGAAAAAGAGACATTCTTCAAGACTATAAGTTCCATTAGAGTGGATCCTTCATTTTGTTCCCCACAGAACAGACACTCATAGAAGTATCCAGAGACTATTAGTTGAATGAACAAATATTATTTTTGGTGCAACGAAAGGTAGGTCTTAGCCACTGAAAAACATGCTGCTCCTTAAAACATCATCCACTAGATGGCAGTGTCACTCCACACTGCTGCTCCATCATGTCCTCCCTCCACGAATTTAGAAGTTAGGACTTGGGGCTTCAATGGAAAACCATTCTGTTCACAGTCCAGCAATCAGGTAGCAATTCTAGACAACCAAAGGCAACAGATTTCATCAAAGATGTGCCAGGGCTTAATAATGCTCTTAAAGGTAGATTTTCTTTTTTAATGAATGTAAAGAAAATCATCACTAAATAGCTAGAGCACCCAGAGGAACTATTTGACCTCTGCTGATAGCTCAAATCCTTCAAATGTAATTCAAGGAGATTCCAGTGAATAGTCACCAAGGTCCTTCCACTCTCCAGTTCTACTGCAAGACAATGGTGCTGCATAAGAATGGATGGCAGGGATCAGAGCCTGGGAATCCTTCCTGAAAAAACAAGGCTAACAGAAGGGGGTAGGTGACAGCCAGGTACAGGATAGCTACTGCCAGGCTACTGAACAACTCTTAACCTGAAGTTCCTGGAAAAAAGCCACACCTATGTTAAAGATTCTACATGGCTCACTTTTCGAGGAAAGTTGAAATGTTACATGCAGATCCAGAGCCAAATGATCTTCAATATTACCTTTAGCTCCCTAAACAGGCATTTATTAACCACCTCTATGTGTTACCTCACATTCTTGTGACCATCAAGTGAAATCTTTTAGAATGTATTAACAGATCACTAGCTGCTGCCAAACCAAAAGCCAAGATTACCATCAGATAGTATCTGAAATTCATAGAGATTTTTCTCACTTTGCTGTAACCCACCTAACATATTCCCACCAATGTATGTAAAAAATGCCTTGATGTATGACTCTCTTTTGTTTTCTAACTATAAAAACTTCATGAAACTGTTATTATTTTGGAACATGTTTATTTGAAGTAACTTGAATCAGTGTTCCTGGGCCTCTGTCACTTGTATATGGCTCCAGAATAAACCAGCCTTTTACTCCCTTTGAAGTGAGCACTGTGTTTTTGTGTTGATATTTGTTATTGTAAAGTGGGGATAATATGTCCGTACTACTTAAGATGATTGTGAGAATTCCAAAAGATTCAGTCTATAGTGCTTAACATAGTACCTGGGGCATATATTTGCACACAACAAATGTTTGCTAGTATTGTTGCTAGTAGTAGTGGTAGTGCATTGCCACTGTTGGACTGTAATTCAGTTTAAGTATTAAAAATCAATGTTGAGAACTGACTTGCCTGGGCAAGTTGAGGGAAACCTCAACTGAGAAAGCACAAATGGGAAAAAGGCAGGAATACAAATGATAGAACAAATGAGCACAATAATGCTGGTGTCTGCTGAGACACACTGACCCAGTTAGGAATACTGACATCCCACATTGAGTGTGGAGCATGAAGAGAAGGCAGCCAGGCCAGTCAAAAAGATCCTGCTTGTATTTGCATAGGAGTTATAGCCTGCCTTCTCATTCATGAGGAGTATTTTATGAATTTTTTGAAAATGAAGAACTTAGGCCGGGCGTGGTGGCACACGCCTTTAATCGCAGTACTCGGGAGGCAGAGGCAGACAGATCTCTGTGAGTTCGAGGCCGGCCTGGTCTACATGGTGAGTTCCAGGCCAGCTGGGGCTACAGGGAGACCCTGTCTCAAAAAGACCAAAAAAAGGAAAAAAAAAGCTCAGTTTATAAAAAGAGGAAAAAAAAGATCTAAGAAAAAGAAATTATTGCACATGCAAATGCATGCATGTTTCATAGAATATAATGTATGAATAAGTAAAAACAACACACATGTAGTAGCATAAAAACAAAAAGAGAAAATAAAGACCTTTAAGCTTAGGCAGTCAAAGTAATGTGCTCTAGATCACATAGTGAGTGAACATATGACATGGTAGGGCAAAGTACTTTGTCTGGCAGTCCAGTGTTCTGGTCCCTTAAACTGTTGTACTGCAGAGGGAGGTGACTAGACTGGCCTTAAAAGAAAGCACTGGATTCATCATAGACCCAGTCAGCAATAACCAGGCATGAAGAAAACAGATATGAGGGAGAAGCAGCCTCATGCCACCAACACCATGCCTACAGGACACTTGTTATCGTGAACTCACAACAATGGCAGGTGCTGGCACATCCACAGACTGCTAAGTTCAGAACATCTGCACTCCTGTGGTGTCTAGTCACCATCCAGAACCAACTGAGAAAATGTAGTGCTAGACAGATCTGGCCATTGTCAACTACACCAGAAAAATGTTTTTAAATGTAAGCAAGTTTCCAAACCCTAAAAGTCAATGAATGATAGACTAATAAAAACAAAAGCATCCAAGTATCAGGATAGATCCTTGTGGAATTATGTATTCAGCAGGCACAATCTATATATCCTGGGGCATCTTTTAGTGTCCACACCCCTGTATGGTACCCTAGAGCTACTTTAAGAAGTGGGTTTCTGTTTTGTTTGTGGTGCTGAGGATTGAACCCAGGTGTTTGATCACCTGACAAGCATTCTACCACTGAGCTATACCTCCAACCCCAAAGAACTGGTTCAAATGTTCACTTCAAAGCAAAGCTTTCTGAGAATGTTGTGTACCTAACTGAGATGTGTAATAAACTGGGGTTGGGATGGCCTGGACTCAATCTCCTAGGTTATCTTGCTTTCAATCCTGGCCCCTAGGGCTTCTGGTGAGCTTTCATCTAAGTACTGACAGGGACTCTGTTCACCAAGAGATACAATATAAGAATGAGAGAGCTGAAAGACAAAGCCACTTAGGTACCATCATGAGGAAGGCTAAGAAAATTGTTAGAAGTTAAATAAGAAAGCATTCATGAAACCAAATTGGCAGTTCGCCAAGGAAACTGCCCTGCCTTCCAGAAACATAAACCCCTCACCACACAAAGCTCCAGGAAACAATGAAAATGGTGGCAACTCCGTGGCAGTCACAGACTTTTTCCAGTGAACTACTTTTTAAGGACCTCGTGCAAATTCACGAGAAGCAGAAACAGGTCAGAAAAATTTCTTTTATTTTTATTTTTTATGGTGGTATTGGGAATCGATGTGTTCTTAAATTTTGTCTCTCAACTATACCCCAACCCTTGGTTTTTTGAGACTGGGTAGGCTGAGGAAGGAAAACTGTGAGTTCAAGGCCAGCCTACCCAGTGCTGGGATTATAGGTTTATACCACCAAACTAGTCAAAGAAAATGTTTTTGAAATTTTAAAACGATTTTTAAAAAGTTACCATTAAGGAAAATTAGCCAAAGTATTTCAGATGCTAGCCTCATGAATCACTGACAGGAGGTAGGAAATCAAGTTTGCCATAGGAAACAGTGCAGCATTAAGGCCAAGGGTTAGAGAAGCAACTTGAAATGAAGAGGCACAGGCAGCAATGAGCACAGCCCATGCAGGAAGCAGAGGAGGGCAGCTGTAGACACACAAAGGGCTCGTGGAGGAGGCTTCATGATGGAGCTCCTGTTTCTCAGGTCTCTTCCACAGGTATTCACTCATAAACACACCAGCATGCATTCACAGCATTGTGCCAAAACTGAACACTGTTCAGCTCTGTCAAGCTTCTTACCTCCTGCAGCTGAGACTCCTTCTTTTTGGAAGACAAATTCAAGTGTTTTTCTAAGATACCACAATACTTCTCTGTCTCTTTGTCATACTTCTTTTTGGCTTCCTGGCAAAAAAAAAAAAAAAAGTAGGGGGGTGGAGAAAAAGAGTAACAGGTTAGAGAAATAAAGTAGCTCAATCTCTTGAGACCTTTCTGCTCTTTACAGCTCACCACTTCCTCTACCCACAAAGACAACTCCTGTTCTTCAGATGATGTCCAATGAAGCAGGTGACCCCAAAACAGAAGAAACAGAAGCACCATTGCTACCCAAGTGTCTTAGTTTGTTCTTCATTGCTGTGACAAAACACTCTGACCAGTACCAACTTGGGGAGGAAAGGGTTTATTTGTCTTACATCTCCCAGGTCGCACGCAGTTCATCAGGGAGCCCAAGGTAGGAACTCAGGGCAGGAACCTGGAGGCAGGAGCTGGAGCACAGGCCACGGAGGAATGCTGCTTACAGGCTTGCTCCTCTGGCCCCTGCTCAGCCTGCTTTATTATGCAACACAGGCCCACCTGCCCAGGGGTGGCACCACCCACAGTGAACTGGGCCCTCCCACATCACTCATCAAGAAGATGCCCTTCAGACATGGCCACAGGCCAGTCCAATAGAGGAAATTCCCCAATTGAGGCTCCCTCAACCCAGGTGTGTCAAGTTGACACTAAAGCTATCCAGCACACCAAGGATGGGGCTTGTGATAATTAAAGCCTGGGACACCCAGGAAGTACAACTCACCACATGGAAGCTGGGATTATGACAGACTGGAAAACAGAAGTAGCATGGTACTAACCTGGTACAGTCAGGTATCTACCTGGTACAGCCTATGTAAGGTATCTACCTAGTCAGAGATGGGTAGAAATACCTGAATCAAGGAAATGGGACATGGGAAAGTTTTCCTTTGAGAAATTTTTATTAGCTTAAATTATTGCCTAAAGAATGAAAAAGAATTTCATAATATACATATCAATCCCTATCTCCTCACCAATTTCTTAGATCATAGGTAGGTAGTCTCCTTTCCCTCTGCACTTCAGTAGAGAGAATAAGCCAGTGGCTAGAAGAAGGCGGCTCTAGTCTAACAAACACTTTCAGGCTCACTAACTCGCTCTATCAGTCCTGCTTTTGACTCATTTGGAGTCCAAAGGAGATATTTTTGTGTAATACTCCAAGAACTGTAAAGGTTGTTTCCAATCAGAGAAGGAGGCTCAGAAACATCTTTTTCTTCATTTAACAAATTTATAATGAGCCACCACTCTGTCCTCAGCTATACTTTGGGTTCTGGAAACAGAAGATGGCAGTGGTCCCTACCCTCATGTTGGGATCATTCCAATAGAAAGAGGAACACAATTCTCCAGGAAAAAAATCAGCAGCATCATTACAGACTATGGCAAGTGCTACGAAAATTAATAAAGGGTACTCAGGAAAGGCCTGGGGAGGAGAGATGAGAGCTAAGACTCGCTAAACACCCGAAGGGGCAGAGCAGATGCTTCTGTAAAAGTGAACCATCAGTGTCAATGCCCTGAGATGGAATACCATGAAACCATGAAACCCTATCAAGCTCTCATGTGTACCTGCTCAATAGCAAGCTCCTAAGCCTCAGAGAAGGTAGAATAACCATATAGCCATTTAGCTGATACAAATCCATTCCTACTCCTACTCAAACCATGATGCATCCAAAAGTAAATGAAGAAAGAGCTTGAAGAAAAATTACTCTTTCAAGTCTGAGGAAGGGCTAAGCAAACAACTCTTTTCCTTTATTAAACCATAAACTTGGAGCTGCACTCCAACTCCAGTCAGTTCTTACATCACATATACCCACTCTCACCGACCCGGTGGCCAGCAATCCATAGAGAACGCCCGTGTCAGAAGGTTCCTCTGGCCAGAGGCTAGAAGGCCAGGGAGCATGAGTCACTGCCATTTTGTAACTTTCTAATAGTTCAAGCCTCCACATTCCATGTCAAAAGATAGCCAAAGCTTTTATAGAAGAAAGCAACAGAAGGGAAGGAAAAGAGAGACAAGGCAGCAGCTTTGGTCCTGGGAAGCAGCAAGACCTGCAGGAACAACCCTAGGGGTCAGCATATTAGTTCTTGTCTCACTGCTGTGACAAAAGACCTGGCAAGAGCAACCTAAGAGAAAAGGGGCTTATTTTGGCTCAGTTCCAGGATGTGGTCCATCATGGCAGGAAAGTCATAGTAGCAGAAGTTTGAAGCAGCTGGTCACACTGCATCCTTAGTCAGGAAGCAAAGGAAGATGAACTCTGGTGCTTTACTAGCTTTCAATTTTTTTCAACCCACTCCTATTTTTAAATACTTGTTTTATTTTTAATTATAGGAAGGGGTGTGCATTATGGGAAGGTGAGTGCAGGTGTTCTCAGAGAAAAGAAGTGGAAGTTGGAGCCCCTGGTGCTAGAGTTATAGGTGGTTGTGAGACACCCAGTGTAGATTCTAGGAACCAAACTAGGGTCCTGTGCAAGAGCAGTATGTGCTCTTACCTGCTGAGTCATCCCTCTAGACCCTCTCACATATATGACTAATAAATAATCTGTGTACTGTGCTAGAGTACTGGGAAGAGGGAACCTCAATTGGGGAATGTCCTCTATCAGGCTGGCCTATGGCCGTATCTGTGACACATTTACCTGATTGCTGAGTGATGTAGGAGGGCTCAGCCCACTCTGGGTGGTAGCATCCCTGGGCAAGTAGTCCTGGGTTGTTTAAGAGAGTAAGCTGAGCACAGGCCAGAGAAGCAAGTCAGTAAGTAGTGTTCTTGAAGCACATAATCTATGCTTCAATTCCTGACTCCAGGTTCCTGCCCTGAGTTCCTGCCCTGGCTTCTCTCAGGAATGAACTGTGATCAGGACATTAAGCCAAATAAACCCTTTTCTCCCCAAGTTGGTTTTGGTCAGAGTGTTTTATCACAGCAACAGAGAAGCAAACTAGAACATGAACCTAATGTGAGAGCCACAGATGAATAAAATGACAAGTGCTGTCTTTCTGTTCATAAAGTTAGAGGACACACACTGTTTTAAGCACTTTGAGTTCATTCACTTCTTCCTTCTTTGGAGTAAGTTCTATTATCCCCATTTTAAAGATCAGGAAAGAGGCATGTCACATGCAAGCCATGGAAATGTGGTTTGGAATCAAGAATTATAGCTCGAGGTCCACTCTTAACCACTACTCTCAAATGTCTATTCTATGTTCATTCTAGAGCCCCACATTACAACTCTACCTCTTGTGCAAAAAAAAAAAACCCACAAACCAACTTGCTCGATTCAGAAATGTAAACTTAGGACCATAGTTATGTCAAGAGCTGGGGCATACCTTAGCTGAGGAGTCTCACTAACACCAGAATGCCCGAGAGCCCTGTAATGGTTAGCATTAACCATCAACTTGATAAAACCTAGAACTGCATAGAAGACATACCTCTCACACCTCTGAACTTGACTGTGGGGGATTATTTTGACCATGTTAACTGAGGCAAAAAGACCTGTCCACTGTGGGTGGCACATTCCCTGACTGGGATCCTGGATTATATAAACAGAAAGGGAACACAAATAAAAACAGGCATTCATTTCTCTCTACTTCTTGACTGTGGGTGTGATCTGACCACAGGCTTCAAGCTCCTGCCACTGTGACAGACTCCCTATGATGAACCATAACGTGGAACTGTGAGCCAAGTAAACTCTTTCAACCTCAGCTGCTTGTGTTGGAGTATTTTATCACAGCAACAGAAAAGAAACTAATTCAAGCCCCACTTCCCAGCAGCCTTGACATGAACCCCTGTGCAACAGGTTGTTATAGCAACCAGAACAGCAATAGAGGGGAAAGGCAGAGGGAAAAGCAATTTCCAGAACAAGCACCTGGCTATAGCCAAAAACAGGTCAACAGCCCTTGCTAGCTCCTTTTGTGCTTTTGAGACTCTCCCTGGATTGCCTTTAGTGGCTTCATTTGTTTTCTCATAAATTTTCATAAATGTATGGAGGGTGGAAGAAGATATATACTGGAAAAGAAAACCAAGAAATAACAAAGCAGGGATGAGAACTCACCCCAACATCATCAAAATTAATTGCTAATTCTTTAGTGACTAGAACATATCTGAGGAGAGCCATGCCTCTGTGACACATGTCCCATCTGTAGGCAAAAGTGCATGCTCCTACCTCAGGGTCATTGTATTAAACCATAGGAAGCCCACTCAGATGTATGCTTCTCCTCCCTGGTAACTATGGTAACCCTCAAACCAATTCGGGGAGGAGGCCAGAGTGTGAGGGCGGCTGTGCTCAGAAGCAGCTACTAGAAAGATGACTCAGCAAGCAGGTCAGCTCTGCCTCTGCCTCAGGGAGCTGTCAGAAGCTCCAGATGCTATTGCCATGTGTGTTTAGGCCCAGGGAAACACAAGTCCAGGCTACTAAGGAAGCCTGCTCTTTGGGCTTTATTGGAGACCACTGACAGAGTTCACTGGCCACATAGTCTCAGACATCGCAGAGTCAGTTCAGTCTTGAACAAAAGTCTCAGAGGAATAAGACTTCTTTCCGATTATGCAGTCCTTCATCTCTGAAACAAAAACAATGAGCCCCTCTTTCTTCCTAAATAAAAACTGAAATTGGTACAAACACACTGTAAAACTGGGAGAAAAATCCTTGCCATGGTCTTTCTTTAAAACTATGGCCAAACATTGCTCTGATAAACCTTGACCAACTATCAGCTCTTCAGTAATCATATCTATTTCCAGAAAGCAACTGGGAGGCAGAGAGACAGGAAGAGAGGGGGGCTAAAGGGAGAAACACACTCTATTAATTACTTCTCAAGGACATTTTTCAAGAGTAAAATCTATGCCAAGTATGGTGTTGCCTCAAACCCCCTGCAGATGGCGCAAGGGGCTATGGTTGAATTCATTCACAGTTACAGAAAAAAACGGGAAAACAGAAAAGCCTTTTACTTTCATTGATTCTGCTGAAGACATCTTTCTTGCAGGGGGCCACTAACACTCTGGGACGGTCAATCAACCTAGTTTACTTAGTGACCTCTCACAAGGCAAGGGGACTGAAGAAGCCACCTGTTAAAAAATAAATAGGATTCCCTTTGCCATCTTCCCGTAACAGAAAACTGTTTGGACTCAATGTCTCAAGGTTTGTCAGTAGAAACTGACGACCTCTGGGCTAAAGCAGGCCTACAGATGTGAGTTTGACTCAGACTAAGAATATGTATTGTCTTAAATTATTTGCCCACAGGAAATTTCCCATAAGCCTCTGCTTTTCTTCAGTATTTAAGAAGCTGGCAAAGGAAGGCCCATTTTGACACAGCAAAAAATATGGGCTAAGGGTAGGCAAAAATGGCTCAGCTGTTAAAGGCAGTGGCCACCATGCCCGACAACCTGAACTCAAACTCCCAGTCTCACAGAGTGGAAGGAGAAAAACTGACCTCCACAAGTTGTCCTCAAACACACTGTGGCATGTATGCAACCCCCTACCCCCACCCTCCCACCCCCCACCACAATAAAATTGATGTAATTTTCTTAAGTGGATGCAGCAAAGTCCCTGTGCCTCCAAACCTGGCATGCAACTCAGCCTAGGCTAAATCCCAGGCCACTCCGACACTCAGAATTTCAGACAAACAAATGGGACTGTCCTGTCCTCTAGCACAAAACAATCAGGTAACAAAATACCAGGATGTCTGCTGGGAGCGGCCAATTCAAAGGTTGCACTTTAGCCACTTACAAAATGCAGAGGCGCTCTCAGCTTTTCTGCCAAAGACGTTCTGAATGCTCCACCCTAAAGTCCAAGAACAAAGTTTGCAAATTCTCACCCTAGCAGCCCCAATCTGCTCCTTTCTAAACTTCTCCAAGGGCGTGATGAGCACCTCGCTGGCATTCTCAATCTGGTGAAAAAAAGCAGAGGGGGCAAGAGACAAAAGCAGGATCAGTTTTGAATTACAGCAGCTCTGCCACAAAATGCCCCCTGCCCCCCAGGACTTGGTATGAATCTTGAGTAAGCAATATGGTCCATGTGTCACTGTTTATAATAGCACATTAAAACAAAATTCACTCAGATGCTCAAAGCATGATCTTCCTGTGCAGAATTTGTTGTTACTGCTATTGCTGTTGGAAACACCACCTCACTGTGTAGCCCAGGAGAGCCCGGAACTTACAATCCTTTCAACCTCAGTCTTCTGAGTTTTAAAAGGAGTCTAAAAGTGTAGGCAATCATTTATAGGAAGAGGGCCCTGGTGACAGTACAGTCTAAGTTTCAAGCTTCAAGTGATGTGAGCATCTACTCACACAAGATACAGATTAAGTACATCAATAGATTCTTGATTAAAAACAAAAACAAAACACGACTGGACATCTGCTATCACAAAGACCTTTGAAGTCTGACATGTGGTCTTAGAGTATTGGTTGGGGCCAGGACTTCTGTGCCTCCTGACCACTGGATGCCTTCCAACTATACCCATAGGGCTCAGTCATCAGCTCCTCTACTCCAAACCAACTGTCACATCAATGTACCTCAAATGCACCAAGTTTGTCCCACCTCATGATCTTGGTCTTGGGCCATTCCCTCTGATGTTGTTTCACAGATTGTAACCAAGGCTTCAATGTAAAGGTCACTACTCTGTGAAGGCCTTCCCTGACCACCAAAAGAGAAATTCAGAGAAGCTGTCTACCAACCTTGCCCTTCAGAACACACCTGGTAGTTTTTTGACTCACTACTATTTACATAAACCACTTTTGTAAATACTCACTTGTCCCCTAGTATCCCCAAAACATGGAAGAGATCAGAAACAAAGGAGTACTCAAATCTTTTGAACCAAAGGAATGAATGAATGAATGAATGAATGACTTCTTGAGAGGCTGCCAAGTGTGTAACCATAGCAAAATACTTAACCTCTCTGTGCTTTAATTCCCTCATCTACAAAATGAGGGGGCTGAACTGTTCCAGTTCTAAGTCTTTTCTACGGCAGCACAATATTTCACAATCTTTACTCATTGCTCACTTGTCTCTCAACTATTTCAGGAATCTCACTTCAACAAAGCATTATTTTTTTCTAAATTATATGCATACCCTTCACACTGATACCAACACTGTAATGCCAGAGACTTTTGATGGACATAGTAAAGAACTGTCTGAACAATTTGAGGGACAGAAAAGGGCAGGCCTGAAAGTTTATTCCAATTTTCCTTCTTAATTTTGAGAGCACTGGAGTGAGGCACTAGCATTGAACTTATTTTTTACTGTTAGTTACTGTTGCTTAATTGGTTCATGTAAGTGCTTCTCATAAATCAACTGCAAGTTCCTAAAGTTCACAAAGGTGTGCAGAGCCAGTAAGTCAGTGGTTTTCAACCTCAGCTGCACATTAGAATCCCCAGGGGAGCTTGTATAATGCTCACTAGCCAGGCCAAACTTCAACAACTCAGATTTCTCTGGACCTGGCTTCATCCGTGTTTTTGAGGTCCTCCAAATTATTCCAGGGCTATCTATGCTAATAATCTAGTCCTAAGGAGACTCAGTATATGCTGACATTCTGTTGCTGTCATGGGAAGCAGGACAGCATCCCAGTAGTGTAACTACTATCAGCCTTGACAAGACCTGTATCCTCATTTATCAAATGAGAGACTATAGGTGGTGAGCAGTAAGGTCCCTCTAGAGTAATGATGGAGTCACATAAAGCCATTCTTTGCCCTTGAGGAACTCTATTTACTATGGGCACATATATACACAGTAATTTTCTGGACACCATATGGTAAATGCAGAAACAGACATGAACTAGAGATGTTCAGAGAACCATACAAGGCTCTCCAAAGAGAGTACAGCTTTGCTGAGGTAAGCTGAGCTGAGGTGAGCTGAAATGAACTGACAAAGCTATCCCAGGGCAAGACAAGGTGAGGGGGCTTGGGATGGTCAGATACTCAGATGCAGACAGGAGAAACTCAATTCACTGACATAAATAATAAAATTGCAGAGGCAAGCTGAAAAAGCATAATCTAGTCATTGTTCCCCTACCACAGGCCATAGCGATCTGCAGGGTATTCGTGCTGATTTGCTCACCATGCCCTCCACCCCCAAATACTAACTGGGCCAAAAATCAGACACAGAAAGAACCATTTCCCTTTCTCGGGCACTAGCACATGTACAAACACTCAGGCTTTCCCTCCTACTACCCACCACCAACCCTGCCACTACCACTATACCCCAGTTTGGATTCAAGCATCCAGCAATGAGCAGTCAGAAGGGTGTCTCTGCCAGGCAAAGGGTGGGAGGCTTCTTTTCTCTTTGGAGTTTAAAGAAATTCCCACAGCTTTTCATATAATGCTGACTTGGATTTGAATCCAGGCTATATCACTTAACTGTGTGACCCTGGACAAGCAACTTAGTCCCTGTAAACCTCAATATTCATCTGACAAATGGGGATAATACAGATAAGCACTTCAGAGTCATCATGAGAGCTCCGTAGAACATGGAATAACTGCGAACCCAAATAAACTCTTTCTCCCTGTGGTAACTTAGAGCTTACACAGTAAGCAGTTGCTACAGAAAGAGAAGGAAAATATTCTAATGGTGGCATCTTTCTGGGGTCTCTCTGTAGCACTGCTGCATGGACATGAGCCCCTGGGGGCAAGCCAGTATGCAGCCTGTAGAGAGTTCCATCAGGCTTCACTGCTGCCACCTGAAGGATGTGGGAAATGCAAAGGAACCTTCACTCATTAATGTTGAATGGCATCACAACAAATGCTAGTTTAAAAGCATTGCATTGGAACCTAAAGGTCAGTATTTGATTCTTGAATTTGCAGAGCACCTCTTTGAGAAGCTTCTATAGACAGTTACCTTCCTTTGCCAAGTTCCATGTCCTGGCCACCAGCTACGTAGCAGGTACCCTGGGGTTAAAATGAAGATGTGATACCTTCCCTCAACGATCCCTTGGAAAGGTTAATAAGGCATAGACAGAAAGGTGCAGAGAGGGATATATGCTTTCTCTTTCTGGTAGGTCCTCAAAAATTAAGTCATTCAAAAGCAACACCCTAATGTCCTATACCTGTGTATGTGCGTGTGTGTGTGTGTGTGTGTGTGTGTGTGTGTGTTGTACACATGCATGCATGGGGAGATGTGGTGGCCAGAGGTCGACCTTGAGTATTATTCCTCAATTGTCTCTCCACCTTAATTTTTAGAGACTGTCTTTCACTGAACCTGGACCTCACCCATTTGGCCAGGCTGTCTGGTCAGCAAACCCTAGGGATCCTCCAGTCTCCATCTCCCTAGCACTAGGATTAGAGGTGTGCACTGCTCAGTCTGGCTTTTTACACAGGTGCTAGATATCTGAACTCAGAACCTCAAGCTGATGCAGCAAGAGCCTTACTGCTGGAACCATCTCTCTACCCTCTAAATCCTATATTTTATGTATAGCCCTACAGTGAATCTTTAGGACAATGATAATCTTCCAAAGGTATGTGCCAGTAATCCTTTAACAAAAGATTTCTAATTCTGCAAAGGCTCACAACCTCAGAGCACTCCAGAGGCAAGAGCCTCAACTTAAACCTGACAGCGAATCCCTGGCTCCCTCAATTGTGTATAGACTGTCTGAGACCAAGAGCAGCCCAACTCACCATGCGACTCCGCTCATCTTCAAGATTCCTGAGAACAGTGGCAAACTCCTGCAAAGACCGTGCTGGAAGAGAAAAAGGGGCCAAAGAAAGGGTGAATGCTGAATATTAGGTATATCAAAGCAACTTACAGATTTAAATTCCTTATGTGGATGAGGAAAGAAGACTTTTGTGGTACAGCCATTTCTTTGAATTTCATCCCTGTGTCCCTTGTAGAAATTCCAGCGGTGCCACGTTGGGGCCAAAGAATTCAGAGGTTCACCTCCATGGCTGTCAAAGCTATAAGGAGGGCCAGGGAAGAATTTGCCATTTTCAATGGAAAAAAATAGTGGCTATGATGAATAGGTACTTTTGGATCAAGATTTGCTGCATCTTTCTTTAGAGTAAGTCATCGATTACTTGAGAAATGAGGATATTTTAATTCACCCATTTTACAAATATGAAAAAATGTTTAGGAGGTACAATCTCTGAAAAATGGATGCAAATCCTGAATTCATACTACATGTGATTGTAAATAAGCTCATGACATAAAAAATAAATTCCTTATACTCATAGATGTCTCATGTCAATTGCTTCCTACAAGGTTCCTTATCTTTTAATCATTAGCCATTAAAGACTGGATGACCCAGAAGTGAGGTTAATTGTACCTGGCACACTAGCTGGAGGAAGTTTTCTCCAAGGAAAAGACCTGCCTGTTCCTGAGAGTTCCCAGGATGGGTAAGGAGCTGGCAGGCTCCCAGGCCTGAGGCTAGAGGGGGCAGAGTTCTACTAAGGAGATAGAGGATTTCCCATCCAGAATCTAACTTCCTCAACCTTTGTTACCAGGCTGTGTCAGAACCCAACCTTTTCTTTGGCACCAGAACTAAACAAATAGTTTCGCTGGCAACAGAAGCCATGTCTCCGGCATCTCCTTGGGTTCCTCCTCCTTGAGTCCTGAAGCTACTCATTGATAGAATAACGCAGCTTGGAGCACAATAGTAATATCTTTGCCAGACTCTTTCATGAAGGCAACCGGCACCGCACCAAGTGCAGCAACCCTGAGGACATTAGGGCACTTGGGCAATGCTAGAGAATGCATCCATCCATTCATGAGTTACAGCAAGGATGCATTTTCATTGCTCTCAGCTACTTTCCAACAGTCTTTGCTCATGCCCAGGTTATGATGTTCTGCTTGGTAACAGACTCAATAAGCATCTAACAGATTAACAATCATAACTTATTCTTTTTTTTCTTTATTTGGTACTAAAAGTTGAGCTCGAAGGTTTGCACATGCTAAGCACATGTTCTACCATTGTGCTATACCCGGCCCCAACCTTCTTAATTCTTCTTCTCTTTATAGCAATCAAGATGGCCAATGTAAGAAGAAAAATTCAATAATGAGATTCTAGACAAGTAAAGTGTCTTGAGCTCTGTGCTCAGGGTTGCCTACAGAAAAAAATGGGTGGCAGTGAAGAGTGAAGTAGTGCAGCATGGTGATAGACAAGAACCCACTTCAGTATATTAGTAAGGGAACCAAAGGAGAAGTAGACACTGGGAGCTGGCCACTGAGCTCTGCTCCCACTCTAAAGACAGTGGCAGCTACATGACTCCAGCCAAACGTTACCAGGCCAGAATACAAGGCCACTAGATCATATCTGTGAATTTTTCAAAGCTACACAACTGGAACTTAAGATAAATTCAACTTGTACGGTAATTCAGTTGTGCTCATTAGTGTTTGCCAACTTGACACAAAACAGAGTCACCTGGGAAGAAGGAACCTCAACTGAGGAACTTCCTCCATCCAACTGGCCCTATGGACTATCTATGAGGAATTTTCTTCTTTTCTTTCATGTGTGTGTGTGTGTGTGTGTGTGTGTGTGTGTGTGTGTAGACAGGGTCTCCCTGTAGCTCCAGTTGGCCTCAGTCTCACCGAGATCCACCTGCCCCTACTTCATGAGTGTGCCAGTATTAAAGGTATAGGCCATCATGCCCAGCTATGAGGCATTTTCTTAATTGCTAATTAATGTAGGAAGACCCAGGTCACTGTAAAGGGTACCATCCCTAGGCAGGTGGGCCTGGGCTGTATAAGAAAGATAACTGTGCAAGCCAGGGGAAGCAAGCCAGTAAGCACCATTCTTCTGTGGTCTCTGCTTCAGTTCCTGCCTTTGTTTCCCTTGATGACAAACTATAAAGTATAAACCCTTTCCTCCTCAAGTTGGTTTTGGTCAGTGTTTTTATGACAACACTAAAAAGCAAACTAGGACAGAAATTGGTACCAGAGAGTGTAGACCTGACCACGTTGTTATGGGGAGTATTGCAGAAATTTTGAAGTTCTGGGCTGGAAAAGCCATTGTGTGCTCATAGCTTAATGGTCTGTACTATGTGAGCCTGGAAGTAAGAATGCTGAAAGAAATGCAGACAATGAAGCCTGGCTTGTAGAGGCAAGTTTGAGAGTTCCATCAGGGCCCATTCGTGTGTTATATTTGAATTAAGAATTTGTGGAAGAAGGAGATGGAGAGATGGCTCAGTGGTTAAGAGCACTTTCCGCTCTTGCAGAGGACCTGGGTTCAGTTCCTATCACCCACAGGGCAACTAACAACAGTCTGTAACTCCAGTTCCAGAGGATCAGATACCCTCTTCTGGCCCCTGCAGGCACCTCATGCATGTAGTACACTTACATGCACACAGGCAAAATATACACAATAAATAAAAATAAGTAAAAAAAAAAATTAAAGAATTTGTGGAAGCAAAACCTTTGCTTTGGGACAATGGATACTGGTTAGCTGGAGCTGAAAAATCAGCTGTGATTAATAAGAGACCAGCATCCTTAAGGTGAAATCTTTTGGGAATTATTTCCTTTTGATCAACACACAGAAGCTGTGGTCTGGTGGGGGGGGGGCACAAGGCTGCATCTCAAGATGGAAACCAAACTTGGTAATGTGTAACAGTCTCCCATGTGATACTGGGTTTGGTAGCATGAAAGCTGAAGGACTGAAGGAGTCATGAAGAGCAACTAGAGCTTGGTACTGTTCAGCAGGGTAAAAAGATAGAGCAGGAAAGGCCATTGGTGAAGGTACAGCCTCAGTTATAGTGGAGACCCCAAGATATTGGAAATGCCAGGACTGTAGGACATTCACCAATGACATCAGCAAGTGTGGTGTGGAGTGGAGCCGGCCTGCACCTACAAGCTGTGTGTGTGCTGCAGTTGGAAGCTGGAGAAGTAAGACTGCTCAAGCCCTCTGGAGCACAGAAGATCATGAATGAGTCCCAGATGTTGGATACTGAACTTTTTACACTGTTGGATTTTGGTTTTGCTTTGATCTGATTACAACTGTACCCTGGTTCTTCCTTCTTGCAATAAGAAGGTATGATGTAACTTGTTTTGGATTTTACAGGAGTCCACAGTTAAAGAGGCTTTAAATTTTTATAGACACTGCACTGTTAAAGTGTTGAAATTTTTAAAAGACTGTGAGGCTTCTTAAAGTTGGACTATGCTTTAGTATGACATTAACATGAGATCTAGGCGATAAACAAGAAAGGAAGGGTTATGATTTAATAGTGATGTGTTTGTGTGTCAAGTTAACAAGGGGCAGTCAACTGTGCTGCTTAGTTTTTGTCAATTTGACACAAAAGAGAGTCACCTGGGAAAAGGGAACCTCACTTGAAGCATTTCCTCCACTGGCCTGGTCTGTGGCCCTGTCTATGAGGCATTTTTATAATTGCTGATTGAAGCAGGAGGGGCCCAGGCCACTGTAGGGGGCACCATCCCTAGGCAGATATGAGAAAGGTAGCTGAGCAAGCCTCGGGAAACAAACCAATAAACAGCATTCTTCCATGATCTCTGCTTCAGTTCCTGCCTTCAAGTTCCTGTCTGGACTTCCCTTAATGATGGATTTTACAGCATAAGTTAAAATAAACCCTTTCCTCTCCAAGTTGATTTTGGTCAGCGCTTTAGCAAAGCAACAAAAATCAAAGTAGGACTTCCATTTTTAAAAAATGAGTCTGTCAGGTGTGGAGGGACACTCCTTTAATCACAGCACTCAGGAGGCAGAGGCAAGTAGATCTCTGTGAGATCAAGGTCAGTAGCCTGGACTACTAGGGAGTTCTAGGCCAGCTAGGGCTACAGGGAGACCCTGCCTCCAGAAAGAAAAGAGAGAGAGAGAGAGAGAGAGAGAGAGAAAGAGAGAGAGAGAGTCAAATAAAACAAACAATAAAACATAGCCACATTCTGTTCTCAGTCCACTAATTACCGCTGTGCAACTTTGATCCATCTCTCCTTTATCCATCTGCATTCACTCTTGCTCTAAGTTCTTAGTATTGTGGTTGGCAGTGATATTGGGCAGGCAGATGGCACAACACCATAAACTTCCAGCTTCCTCCTACTGCTGGGCAGGGAGTGAGGCCAACACAAGGAGAAAGCTAGAGAAGCCCCAAACATGACCCTCATATCTGTCCCCCCACTATCACTGTGGATTTCTGTCTTTACTGACCTTATAGGCCTCCTAGCCCAGGAAAAGTCTTGCTAGGGAACTAAAAGCTAGGCCAAACAGCAAATGTTTTTATTTTCCATGGGTTATGACTTACCTATACACATTTCATCATCTGTTTCTGCATCTCCTATGCACTGAAATTTAAATTCATTTAAGGAATCTGCAAACTTCCGCTTTGCTGAAGACAAATCTAGCAAGAAAAGGGGGGGGGGACAGATTATTGAAACTAAGTTGGCTTTCCTAGCTGTTGCCCCATAAGTCCTTCTATGAATATGGTAGGCAAGTTTGTTCCCAAAACAATTTCAAAGCACAAATAAATATAAACTCAAAGCAATAAATATTTGTTTATATAATGAAGTACTGGTTTGCTTTAAAAGTTAAAATTTTTAGTACATTTGCTTTAACAATTCAAATCCTATGGAACATAAATGCAGCTCAGTAGTAAAATGCTTGCTTAGCATGCATGAGGAGCTGGGTTCAATCCCCAGCCCAGGCCTGGCACACGTGCGCACACACACACACACAATTATTTCTAATCCTATGTCTGCTTCTTTCAACCATCCTGAGTCCTATCATCTCCATTTGAACAATTCAAATCCTATGGAACATAAATGCAGCTCAGTAGTAAAATGCTTGCTTAGCATGCATGAGGAGCTGGGTTCAATCCCCAGGCCTGGCACACGTGCGCGCACACACACACACACAATTATTTCTAATCCTATGTCTGCTTCTTTCAACCATCCTGAGTCCTATCATCTCCATTTGAAACATCTAGGAATCCAGCCACTTCAGAAGACCAAGGAAGAAGCCTGGATCAGAGCCAACAACAGTCCCCATCCCCACAGCCTACAGCTCCACTCTGCCAAGTCCTCCATGTGGCGATCAGTGTGGCTGTCCCCCAATCTGACTCCATAATACATTCCATAAGTATACATTCCATAAGTCCAAAGAGAAAGCAGGAAGGGCTGTCTTGTCCCAAGGCATAGGCATACCTGGCTTCATCTTCCAACAAAAGTGCAGATAAGGCCCAAGTTCTCAGGCCCTCTCAGACCCATTCTCCTCATGAGCCCAGTACCCAGCCAGCTTGACAAATTTCCATTTGAGACATTTCCTAGGTGGCCACAGACACAAAAAAGAACAAAGTTCTAGCAATGCTTTACACGGGGGTTTTTAAGAACCCACACATGGTATCTATAATGAAAACTCTCTGGGGCCCTTGTCAAATTTAAAAACTAAACTTTCCTTTAAGACAGTAATAAAAGTCAGTGATCCTTCCCGAGCCTTCAGCTTCTGTTCAGGGTATAAAACCACCAAGGTACCTTGAAGTGACCTAACAGACAAGACTGCTCAGTACAATGTGCTTAACTTAATTCCACATGCAGCCTTCCTGCAGATTAGGCTAATCACTCAAATTACCCTCATCCAGACTTCCCTCATTGAAGGGGAAATGGCATTATGCTCAAACTCCCAGTAGAGGGTAAATAGGAGGCATAACTGGTAACAAGGCCTGGCTTTAATAAGATTGGGGGAGGAAGGTTTCTGGCTTCCCAGATCAACATAACCTGCTAAATAAAAGCATCCCTGATCCTCAACGCCTCTCTCTTTAGCTCCCATAGTCTCCCTTAAAGTTAAGGTTCATGATTCTCATCTTTTGATTGTTTTATCTCCTTCCCTGATATGAGCAGTGTAATCTGCTTGGCATTTGCAGAACAAATGGGGAAAGGGCACAATACACAAATCCAGGCCCCAGTGTTCATTCCAAGTCAGAGCTGTGAGGAAAGGGCTGGGCTCAGGCTACTTGAATAGACCACCTTCCCACCAGTCCCCAGCAAAGCACTTTGCTCTATACCACAAGAGGCGGCACTTGAAGGGTAAAAAGAATTCAGGATCCAACTTCTAATCCCTCCCTGGACAGTCACTTTCACAAACAGTCCTTGAGAAATCATCCAAAGATGCTAGTGGGGAATGAGGCTTCTCTTAGAACTGTTCTCCTAGACAGGTCTCCTTCAGAACACAACTCACCCTAGCAAGCCTGAAAGTCAGAACACTGAGGGGAGGAAGGGAACTGGAGTCCCTAGAAGGCAAGAGGGGAAAAAGAGAGAGTAACATTTCAGAGTGGAAGAGAAGGACACCAGGAATACCAAAATGCAGGCATAATGTGGCTGTTTGGGCTTTTATTTCAGCCCAATGTTTCCTCATTCAAAACTCACAAAGAAAGGCCTGAGCAGAAAGTATGAACAGGATTGCTTCACCTTCCACCTGGCAGTCCTCCTGTGCCTCCTCAACAGGGCAAGAAAGAGTCACACTAACAATCATCTCAACAAAGTGGAAAAAAAGGTGAAACACAAGCTGAGCTTGGGAAAGAGTCGAGAGTGCACCAGAAAAGCTGTACTGCCAGCAGCTGTCAATGAGGATGAAGGCGTGGCTCATCACACACAACAGGGCCTCTGTGGGGACTTCCACAGGGGCACTGTACCAGGGACAAGCCTTGGTAGCTGACAAGTAGAAGGTAACCCAATTCCACTGTCCTGTGGCCCACAACAGACAGAGGCAATGTGGGCCCTGGGAGGCTGAGAAAGAGACTGAGGCCTGTTGGAGGATGAGATAAAGAGCTGTGTTGTAGAGTCAACACAGGGCTCCGGGCCAGTGAGGATAGCTGAGTGGAGAAAATTCCAGATACTAGAACCTGGAAAGGAGCTTACCTTGAACCTAGGAGAGAAGTCCTTCAGGGAGGCTACAGTAGACACCTGTTATTTTGCTTGCTCAGAATTTGTGTCCCAGCCGGTAGGACAGCATCTTGAGCTTAGAAGAACCACTCTACCCACTAGAATTTTATGGAATGCTGGGATGCTGGCTATAGGATGACCAATCTAGCCTCTTACTTCCATACTAAATTACTCTGGCTCCAGGTTCAAGTTCCAACTTTACCATTTATCAGCTATATAACTGACCCTAGGTTAGCCATAAAGTATCTGTCATCAGATGGAGGCTGTGAGTCTTACAGGTGAGGAGGGAGACACTGAACAAGCACTCTGCAAAACTGTGACTCATCAGTCCTCTTAATTGAAATCCTTACAGTATATGGGGACACCATGCTGTCTCACCCCCATTAAAATAACCCCTCTGTATTATGTGAGACAATGGAGAAGACATAAAGTAAGAATACTCAAAAATCACTGACTCTTGTCTATTTTAACCCAAAAGAACAAGTGACATCTTAGTGTAAATCATCAGCCTGGTCAAGCAGCTCCTCAAAAGTATATTTCTGGAACTTTCACTTCAATGTACATAGGACTCTATACACATTCCAGTGAGAAGGTGAGAGGACAGAAAGGCTGGTGCCAAGGCTGGGTGCATGCCGTGCATCGTTGCCCCTGCTCATATAACAGCACTGTTTCATGTTCAGGCAGCACAAAACACAGCAAGGAGCCAAGCAGAGTCAATAATGTTTACTTTGCATAACAGCTGTGGCAGAAAAGCAGCATGCTGGCAAAGCAAGGCAAAGCAGTCACTGCCTACATGCAAGAAAGACAAGGACCTACAAGGAAGGGGAGGGTTAGGATATAGAAGCAGCGGCAAGCCTGGACATCAAGAGACTGTTCCCAAAACCTTCTGTTCATTCAGGGGCCAGACAAAAGTGCCCTTCTCTTCCTGGGAACACCATGCTCTGCCTCAGCAAATACTCATATGCACAGAGCTTGAAAGCTTGGAACTCAAGTGTGATCTTTAACTAAAACAAGGTTTGGTATCATTTTTCAAACACTAGAACATTATCTTAATTTCACACAAGTTTTATCAGTAATATCACAAATCAACTCGTTCTTTTTCCCCCCTTGGGCAACACTTAAACTCTACACACATATATATGGTCACATAGTAAAGAACTCAAGGTAACCTTATAATTATATTTCATTTTGGTATATATACTGTATTTCTGTGCCCTCCAAAGTTACACAAATTGCATATAACTACCTGTAGGAATTTCCACATCTTTCTCTCCAGATTTAGAAAGTGATTATAGTTCCTAAAGGCCAACTCCTAAAGTAAGACCTTCCATATGTCTACACATAAAGCACAAGAGCTGACCCCCTGATCCTTGCTAAAGTTTGCCTCCTCTGTGCTTCATCACCTTGTATTTGGAATGATTCTGAAACTAGTCCTGAATAGGTTCATGTCACAGTATACAAAGGGTGCCTCAGACCCCTAGCTAGTGACCTCCAAAAATCTCCTATGTTGAATTGCCTGGGAACAGCAACACAATCCAGCTTACAGGTACTTGACAGTCACTAGATAGAACCCACAGTGAGAACTGAAGGACTACAGCTTACTCCTCATCTCTATCTGCAGGTAAAGTTCAAGACAGTCAAAATCAAACGCTCTTCCCATATAACCTCTTCCCAAAAGAGCAGCCAAGGGCAAGGAAAGGCCTCACTGTTTGTCTTATCACACAATCTGACACCTGCACGTCATCCTGCTTCGTGTACAATGCCCATTTCCAAGCCTGTTCATTTCTGTCTCCTTAGTATCTCTTAATTCTGCCAGTCCCTCCTATAGCCTTCAGCACCATCTAACCCAAATGAATACTACTATTTGCCTGGATGACTACCCCAGCCTCCTCTCTGCTCCCTCCACATCCACTTCTGTCCTTAAGACAACTTCTCTATCCATCTGTGCCAGCCCTGTGATGGCTAGAAAAAAGTCTAAAACCCCTTCCAAGGCCTGAAAGACTCTGAGAATGTGATCTTACATCTCCTGCTCTGAGTTCCAGTTGCCCTGTCCTGGGCAATTTCTGCCCTCTGCCTGCAGCTCAGAATTTCCTTTCTCTAAGAAGCCTTCATTGACTTTTCAAATTAACCCAAATCTGACCCTATTTTTCACTCTCTGAGCACTATGCAACTCCTTCTTCATAGAAATTTTTTTGTGTTAGTTCAGGTAACTCTTCCATTAATGTACCTAGAAGTAGTAAGTTGCACAAAGGCAGGAAAGTGTCCCTTGGTACTCTTCCTTATCTCCCCAAAACTCACCTCAAGCTTGAACAGGAAAAGAACAATGGTAGAGAGAAGTCAGGCACTCCAAAGTGCATCAGCCTCCATCAAAGGTGAACTTCCCAACTCCATGTTGGATGACCGGGAAAAAAGATTAAATAAGTCAGGAAATACTCTCTGACTTACGGGAGTCTGGGTGGAACTCATTCTATGAATGTGCTCGCCATTCATAGAACCACCTCCTGTAATGTTGTCAAGGAGGACAATTCCCACAGGATGAGAGGAAAGCCACCCTCTGCAGGGGCATTAAACAAAACCTCTATACCAATGACCTGGAGAGAGAAACTAGAAACAAGTCAAATACCAATCACAGCCATGTGTCTGCCCCAACAAATTCCCAACACTCAAGTCAACACTGAGTATGAGAACCTCTTCTTTTGCCAAGTGAAAGCAACCAGAATCCCTCTTATCACAAACCATGCTGGAGAGGCATTCCCCCTACTCACCATTCTTCCAACTTGGAAAGCAGCATATTAAAGTCAGTTCAGTGTACTTAGCTCTAGTGTGCAAGTGATAGGATTTCACTAAATGCCATTTTACAGCCTGAATCCTTGTATTACACTAACAAAAAGACCATGTTCCATCTCGAAACCAGTCACCATAGCATGTCTAGTTTCTGCAATGTGTGGTGTTACCTGTGTCCACTAGGCGGCAATAAACCACATCAGAGAAAGTGTGCTAGCTACTCAAGGAGAAATCCAAGGCCAGCCTTCAAGACAGCACCTGGGAGCTGGGCGTGGTAATCCCAGCACTTGGGAGGTAGAGGCAGACAGATCTCTGTTAGTTCAAGCCCAGCCCGGTCTACATAGTGCATTCCAGGCCAGCTGGGGCTACAGGGAGAGCCTGTCTCAAAACATACACACACACACACACACACACACACACACACACACACACACACACACACACACAAAAGACTGCACCTGGAAAGATCCAATTCCTTGGATAAAGACTTGCCAGCCTTAAAGGAAATTCTGTCCTAAGCATGCTCAGTCACAAACACAGGAGGACCCTGGCCTCGCATAGGAAGAACTGCTCTACTACTCAGTGGATGGATGCTCATGTGGAATATTTGAACCTGAGAGAAAGGGGAAATAGAGGAAGTCACTGCCAATAGTGGCTCCTGATATTCTTTCAGGTTTTGATGGAACCAACTTGGAAGGCCTCCCCTCTCACCAAGGCAGGTGATATGCCCATCAACCACATCAGTCAACCACATTATATGATGAGTGTTCTGACTATACATCTGTGTGCTATACCCAAAGTCGTTTCCCTAAAACTCTATTTCCTAAATGAAGCCATAGCCAGCACTAACTCAGAATTTGTCTTTCCAACCAGAGCACTAAGGCTAATAAAATTTTCAGTAACAAAATCAGGGCCACATGGGTAGCACACACCTTAATCCCTGTGCTGAGGAGGCAGAAGCAGGTAGCTCTCTGAATTCCAGGCAAGCCTGGCCTATATAATGAGTTTCAGGTCAGCCTAGGCTACACAGTGAGACCTGGGAGGGAGG